CAGAGAGAATTCAATGAAGACGGTTGGTGAGAATTCAATGAAGGAAGAAGGTTCGTTTTTTAAGTTGGAGGTAAAACCAAAATGTGGGACCCACTTCATTTTTCTAGTCATAGAAATCGTTAACTGGTGGTAACTTCCAATTTTTAAAATTTTTGGTGGTGTTAAAATAAAAGTTTTTTTTTAGGGGTGTTAAAAAACATTTTCAGACATTTGTGTGACGTTAAAATCCAAAATATCCTTGTATTATTTGTTATAACTTTGAGAAGTAGGTATAAATATACCTGATTAGGAATTGGTGCTGATAACGTGTCGAAACGTGCCTTTTTAACTATAGAATGATAGAGAAGTGAACAAGTAGAGAAATATTGCTACTGTTAATTTTATTGCATTCACCATAGTTCACCGGTGAACTTGCAAAATATTGTCATACAATTATTTGCACAATTGTACTATTATACAATTTATTATACTAAGTTTGCTACCAATTATTGTACTAGAGTTTTGTATTTATCTTCAACATTTTTCATATTGATAGACCTTCTATATGCCAAAAATAATGACAACTGGTAAGACCTTCAATGACCCCATTGCTCAACCAATTTTCAAAGTATCCAACCGTTGGAAATTGGAACTCCCAAATCAGTGAAGCTGTCAACAATGGCTTCTCTCACAAAGCCCTTTTACTCTTTCGCCAAATGAAACAAGCTGGTTCATCCCCAGATAATCTGACCTTTCCCTTTGTTGCTAAAGCTTGTGCAAAGATTTTAGACCTTAAACTATCTCAATCAATTCATGCCCATGTTTTCAAATCACCCTTTTGGTCGGATATTTTTGTTGGTACTGCAGTTATCAATATGTATGTAAAATGTAACGAATTGGATTTTGCACACAAGGTGTTCGAAAAAATGCCTAAAAGAGATGTGACTTTGTGGAATGCAATGCTTTTGGGTTTTGCTCAATTGGGTTCAGTGGATAGTTTTTTAGTACTTTTTAGGGAAATGAGACTGCTGGGGTTTGTCCCTGATTTTGTCACTATCATAGGATTGACACAATCTGTTGTTGAGTTGAAGAATGTTAATCTGGTTAAAGGTGTTCATGCATTCGGAACTCGTGTTGGGATGTTGAATGATGTTTCTTTGGTTAATACTTTGATTTCTTGTTATAGTAAATGTGGGGACTTGGTTTCAGCTGAGGGTATGTTTGATGGAATATACTCTGAATCGAGAACAATTGTTTCGTGGAATTCTCTGATTGCTGGACATGCTCTAGTCGGGAATTATTATAAAACATTACCTTTATACCGGTTCATGTCTAATGACGGACATAAACCTGATATGAGCACATTTCTTAGTCTTTTATCTTCATGTGTGCAGCCTGAGGGTTTATCTCATGGCAAGCTAATTCATTCCCACGTGATTCAGTTTGGTTGCGACTATGATGTTGCAGTGACCAACACATTGCTAACAATGTACTCGAAGTGTGGAGATATTGATTCAGCATGGCATTTGTTTCAGTCTATGACATATAAAACATGTATCTCCTGGACCGCAATGATAAGTAGTTATGCAGTGAAAGGATGTTTAGACAAGGCATATTCCTTGTTTTTGGATATGGAAAGGGCAGGTGAAAAACCTGATGTTGTCACTCTTCTGTCTCTGCTGTCAGGCTGCAGTCAAACAGGTTCGCTTGAACTTGGCAAATGGCTTGAAGATTATGCCTGTTTTAACGGGCTTAGGGGTAATGTTATGGTGTGTAACGCCATTTTTGACATGTATGCTAAATGTGGACATGTAGATAAAGCTAAAGAAGTATTTTATTCCACCTTCGAAAACAGTTGTCTCTTGGACCACAATGATTTCTGGGCTTGCACTAAATGGAGAATCCAAAATAGTTGAGCTAGATTTGAAACCAAACCGCATAACATTTCTTGCCATTCTACAAGCCTGCATTCACGCAGGTTTCCTAGATAAAGGAATGGAGTGTTTTGATCTGATGACCAGAGTATATAATTTAAATCCTGGGTTGGAGCATTACTCCTGCATGGTTGACCTTCTTGGGCGCAAGGGAAAGTTCAAAGAAGCATTAGAGTTTATTAAAAGCATGCCCTATGACCCTGACGCTGCCATATGGGGTGCATTGATCAATGGCTATAAAATCCACCAAAATGTTGAGATTGGTGAGCATGTTGCCTATCATCTATGTCGACTGGAGCCTCAAGCTGCTGTTTCCTATGTGGAAATGGCAAATATGTATGCTTCAGCAGGAAAATGGGATGGTGTATCTAAAGTTAGAGCACTAATGAAATGCAACAAAGTGAAGAAATGTTCCTGGGCAAAGCCTTATCCAAGTTGATGGAAAGAATCACATATTTGTTGTGGAAGAAAGATGTCATCTAGAAGGTTCACGAATATATGAAGTCCTAGACGTATTGGCCTTCCAAATGAAAAAACATGGAACTTCTTACCTTTTTAAAGACCTTCCTGAACATGAAATATATCTGCAAGATTTTTTGGCGGCTTGATTGGTAGATGAGTATTAGTGCTCTGATGGTACAAGTGCTTGAAGAAACAATTGATTGAGAGTTCATTGGAAAGCCATTGCATGGTGGAACCAGTGCTTTCACAGTTGGAGGCTTCTTCTTTAGCTATCCTTTCATTGAGCATCTCACACTTTGTTATGTGATCTGAAGCTTTAGCCACTTACCTAGCATGTTGGAGATTTGCTGTTACTATACTCTTCTGCTTCTCTGTAACAGCAGGCTGTCTGAAAATCAATGTACAAACCTAACAGAAAACTGACATTTTGGTAGTACATGAAAATTTTTGCTTCCATTTTTTGCTAAGTGTTTTCGATGACCCTTCTTAGTGAAGAAGGTGGCCACTTCTTTCAGGGATGCATTCTTCAGTTTTGTGTCCAACGCCATGGTGGAAGTCATACCACCTGGATTAATCCTTTCGTTTTGCTAGCCTACTTTTGTGCAAACCAGCAGACTAACTATTGCTTCAAGATTGTTAATCTTGTAAAGGGCATTGACGATTCCATAGATATTAATGTTAAATCCATATTATTGAATTTACGGGGTGAATTGAGTGATCATCAACACCTTCTCCTTATTCTTTTGCATTATTAACATTTTGTTACTGATTTGGATGATTATGTGTCTTAGGTACCTACCAGTATGTCGCGAAATATAAGACATCATGGCGTTGACGGTACTGGATCTCTTAACGGTTGTCATCACATCACAGCATCATGACATGATCACAAGCTCTAGAAGGTCCTAAGGGACAGACACCTACCATATATCTCTACTTCTAGTGGCTGACATGATCATACAGTTTAGTAGTGTCGTCATACAGACGTGGTGCTCCCTACTGGTATATTGAGTTTCCATGAAACCCGCACCTTTGCGATGTATTCAGCGGATGAAACGCCAGATAATCTTCTTAGGACTCCGTCTTCACTGAAATCAGTGCATCGGGCGTTTCTTCAACATATTCAATACTTTGGCATTCTAAACCTTCAACATGGGCAACTTTCGAGCAACAAGATTTGACTCAACCTCTTCAGTGTTCTTTTGTGGCTCAAAATCATCTTATAATTGGTCTTCAAGTTGTGGTGTCATGGATGTTGTAAATTTCGTGGTCTATGTCTCCTTGCCTGCATTTCTAGAATAGCCATGTATATTCCTGTCTGGTTGCGCCTTGGACTCCAGCACTTTTGGCTGAAACCAACTCCGTTTGGAGGCTTTCAATGAAAATCCGCAGCAAGCATCCTCTTGGCCAGCATTGATTTTCCTTATAGGATGCGCAACTCCTAATAGGACACTTTTTGAACTACTTAAGGGTCATGTCATCAAATTGGATGTAGCCATGAATATTGAATAAGGGTTGATTAACACCATTTTGGGTACCAAATTGTCATGCCAAATGAGTCTTTGGATAAGACGGCGTTAAAAAGATGATGATGAGAGTTTAGAACGCAAGAAAGCAAATGCGAGAGTGGAGATGAAGAAACGGTGACTAAGTAAATGCGATGGAGATGAAGAAATGGTGACACAAACAACCATATAATGTTTATCGTCACAAGAGAAGACTAGACTACAATTGCAGTGGTTGAATGGTGCTTAAAACAAGAAAATAGTGATAAAGTTGATCAATGGAATTAGAGTACAGTAATATTAAATCGCGTTAAGTAGGGCATAGTTATGTACTGCTCTCCTCTTCATGCTGTATATTCCTATAAATTATATCCTTCCATCGTTTAACTCACCTTTATTTGGTTTCCTTTGGTACACTTATTACACGATTATTCCTCCCTAACTAACCCTGCAGAAATAAGTAGCCTTTATTTAATCTGTTATCAACACAGTTTTATCTTGGACGTCGTCAAACCACTGGCGACATCACCTGATGTCACGACATAGTATTTAAAGTTTGACCATAACAGTCGGTCCTCCTATTCAATGCATCAGGGTTAGACATCCTCTTACCACAAGCGAGATCATCTCCCTCGTATGAGCAAGAGTAAGAGTAGATAATAGCCCTACTTAACGCGATTTAATATTACTGTACTCTAATTCCATTCATGGCTACATCCTCTTACCACAAGCGAGATCCTCCTATTCAATTCATTTCTAGTTTATAAGAATATGCAAAAATAGCCCCATATGAGCAAGAGTAGATAATAGCCCTGATGCAGCATAGCATACACTTTGGAGCCTCATATCATCAGCCTCCCAATGATTTGAATCCAAATTGTACAAATCAGATCAGCACCTAAAACTGATTCTGTTTCAGATTTTCAGACATAATGATTATGTGCTTGTGAGTTGTGATGAGTCTGATGAGTAAAGTTAGCAGTCAAATCAATCAAAAATGCAAATAAAACATTTTCTCGATCTACTGCACTAACTCAGTAACTCCTGCTTGCTTTATCCTATAACTTCAAAAATCGGTGCTTCTAAATGATTATGCAGCACAAAAGAAGGTCGTTGCCAATTACAGTAGATGTAATGTAGAAACCTCTGGCCAATTTACTGTCTACAACCTATAACCATAGTATCAGCTGATAGCATGGGACATTTTTAATTTTCCATTGTATAATATGACATGAAGGACACTGCACACTTCATGCCATAAATCACAAATAATCACCCCATACATTACAAGCGTTCATTCTTCACAGTATATTCTGTAATAAAGCCACTGCATACTTCAGTAAATGATTGATGAATATTACAACTGGGTCGTTTACTCTTTTAGCAAAGCAAATCCAACACCAAGCAAGGGAGTAAAAACTTCAGGTAAGCATCCAGCCATATATCAACAAATGCAATCAATGAATAGATGATGGGATTCTCAAGCTAAGTGTCAATAATCGAGATAATACAGAGAAGGCAATGGTGACAATTACCTTTAGCCATCTAAAAATAGACCAGACCTTTAGCCATCTAAAACAGAGCTCTTCTTCTAAACATGAGGAAAGCAATTGTTATAGCTATTTTGTGATATCAATGACCATAAAGTCCAAGCATATTCTTTTCTCTATCTTCCACCCTCTTCCTAGCTGCCTCCCTTGCTCTAAGTGCAGCTGCTTCTTCAGCAGATACGGCCTTTGGCTTTTCAGGCCGCTTCCTCTTTCCAACTGCAAGTGATGACTGAGCACCTTTTACTGATCTTGTAGGATTTATAGACCCTGAAACGACAGGCCCAGGTGCACCCTCTTTCTTTTCAGCAGGTTGACCTGATGTAGAAGCAGCCAAAGGCTTTTTCAAGGGCACCTTTTGTTTAGAACCAGCAGATTTCTTAGCAGCTGCAAATGCCTCTTCTTGTGTCACCCAATTACCTGGTTCATGATTACAAAAGAAAAAGATAAAAATTAAATCAAGGGTATCAAGAGCAGTGACAAAAGGAGGAAATGGAAATGCAATCAAATTCAAAACCAGCAATTCGTTCAACTCTTTACCTAGATCATCACTGTAGTAGAAACCAGACTTTGGATCATACTGAATGCCAGTATGTTGATCATAATAGTACCCTGTAGCGCTGTTGTATTCCCAAGCTGCCACCATATCAAAGAATATTATTGAAAGAGGAACATCATATATTTAACCAATGTATCACATATGGTAACAATGACAGAATCTTCCAGAGCAAGCATAAATAAAAACATTTAGTGCTGTAGTAAAGGACAACGTAACAAAAATAAGAAGGTTAGGGAATTTAAAGTTGATGTGTTGTGAATCATTTTCTTTTTTTGGGTCAAAGAAAAAAGAAAGTCTTGGTGGTATTCGTTAAGCATTATTAGCCCTGCAACCTGGTATATTAGGGGTTGCAACGTAATTGTTTCCTGATAGTAATAACATAACACATTCCCAAAGAAAAAAAAAAGTAAACAAATCATTTCATAACATGTCTGAGAAGGTGTATCCTGGGACTCACAAACGAATACCTGCTTATTTTCCGTCCCTCTTTTAAATTGGGATGATGACAGGAGAATTGCATTAAGCCCGAGTTAACAAGCCTATCACTAATACTATTCCTAGAAGAAAACAAAGGAATCTCCAATAGTTGATCATGGGATGTGCAATCCTCCTTCATCCTACATAAAGAACTAGTTAGCAGAAGTTTAAATTAGGCAGAAAGAATAATCATTCATATTAATTCATCCAACAGTTTCCTTCAAAACACAAAACCTAATATTCAGATAGTAAACAGGTTAATTCAATCCAGAAAATATGTATGGATACCCTCAAATCCATTCATAATTACAGTTATCTTCACTAACTAATCTCAAACATCACAATAAAATTCTTAGGATGCGTCCTAATAACCAGATTTCCACTTGTCTCATAACTATATTATAGCTGTATATTAAATTTGGGAGCCTTTATTAACCCATATTAGAAATCTAAACTAATCTAAAATTATTAACCTTTACCTAAACTTGTTTTTTCCTAAAACAAGCAGAAATAAGGTAAACTTATAGAGACCTTAACAGAAGGGTTCCAAAATAAATTAAAAAAATTTCTCCCTCCATCTTAGATTAGTTTTTACACTTTCCTTTTTCATTTGTCTCATATTAATTTTTACTCTTTTAGGAAAGTTCCCACTATTATTTTAATACATCTCTCTTTCCACAACTTATAATTTAGGGCTTAATTCTCTCAAATTTAATAAAAAAATACCCCAACATTTTCTATCTCATCAATTTTGTTAATAAAATAACACCAAACTATCTCCTTTCACATCTACTTCTCCAACAATAATAACAATTAATAACCAAACAACTTATCACCTAAAACTATGTGCTATAATAAGCTAGTGTAAAAACTAGTCTGGGACGGATGAAGTAATAACAACCTCATTGTTGAAGGCATGTTTCTTCAAGAGTTAAGTATAGCCTTAAAATATGTTATTAAGGCTTGAGAGCCTTAAGCCACAAGGTTGTGAATGGTGAGTCTATCTCACATCCTCCCTACCCAAACAAGAAACAGTTTTAAGAAAAGAATCTAAACTCTTCATTCTTCTTCAATCAATATTGATGATGTGTATACCATTGGTCAGACCTCTTTTTAAGAAGAACAGAGATTAATTTCTTGTCCTGTCCACATAATAAAGAAGATAATGATTTCAATGTAACCTCCATGATTCAAATTGCAGACTATTGAGTGAGTTCAACAGTATGACAAGGCCTATAGCAGTAAGGATCACTTTTCTATCAAGGGTTATTAAGGCTTGAGAGCCTTAAGCCACAAGGTTGTGAATGGTGAGCCTATCTCACATCCTCCCTACCCAAACAAGAAACAGTTTTAAGAAAAGAATCTAAACTCTTCATTCTTCTTCAATCAATATTGATGATGTGCATAACCATTGTTCAGACCTCTTTTTAAGAAGAACAGAGATTAGTTTCTTGTCCTGTCCACATAATAAAGAAGATAATGATTTCAATGTAACTGTCCATGATTCAAATTGCAGACTATTGAATGGGTTCAACAGTATGACAAGGCCTATAGCAGTAAGGATCACTTTTCTATCAAGGGCTTGAGTGACAAACTATTGTCATAGCTAATAATCACCCCCCCCCCCCCCCACCCCCTTCCAGATAAATAAATGAATAAATCACACACTAACAAATTTGGGCTGGCAAATCTTATCTAAACAATTTGTTATGACAAGCAAGAGGATGCACTAAGGGTCATTTATAACTTTTTCAAGAACACAAACACAAAGGAGAAAAAAAAAATACAAAGTATAAAAAGCAAGAAAGAAAAAGCCATCATAATGTTGTTAGTTGCCACTTGCCAACGAGCAGTACCTGTGTCACGGGCAAGAAAATCAGCAGGGGCTTGTGATTGCTTGCTCTCTTGAGATGCTATATCTTTCTGATAACTGCGTGTAGCTTTCTGTCAAAGACATGCAGGAAGGACATTAATTTAGATAAAAGAGAGAATAAGAGAAAGTAGATACAATCGCTAAACGACAGAAAGTGAGCAATAATGTAGTGCAGTAGTGTTAGAGCATAGATCATTACAGCTTCGATTTGCTGCAATGTACGAGCATCTTCCTTTTCTTGCTTCTCCTTAGCAGCCTTTTCTTTGCGCATATCAACAAGACGCTTGGACACACTATCCTTATGACGCTGTCCCATTTCATGATTTCTAATCGTTGATGGATTATTTGTTATAAATATTTTGCAAAAGTCACACCAATGCTTGCCCTGGCTCACCCAATACTGCCAAATGATCCCATAAGAAGCTTCAGAATAAAGAAACCAAAGGTGGTAGAGTAGCACAAAAGCCAAGATCTCAAAGGATAGAGTACAGAAATAAATTATAAGCATAAGCAAGAATATAAGATACCTCTGTCATTGCTACTGTGATCTAGATTGTCATATATACTCAATCTTCAAGCTGAGAGCCGTATATTTCTCAATCTATAGCTAAAAAAAACAATACAAGCCATGTGTTACCAAAATATAATAATTGTTATACTAGAAAAAATGAAATTATTACCCCCGTTTCATATTATGCGCAACATTTACTAAAAATGGTTGTTACAAATTATGTGCAACAGATTAAGTTGTTATTTCTCTCTATCTCTCTCATCATCATATGCACCACTATCATTCACTCTCCGTGCAAAACTCACATAAACTTTTAGCCTACAAGTCTGTGCAAACTCATTTGTTGCACATAATATGAATCAAAGGTAGTATATAGATTACTAAATTAAAGGGAGATAAAGGCACTTAATTACAGTCAGATGGGTTAAACAAACAAAAAAATTCAAAAAATTCTCTTTGGTAACATTGTAGTTTTTAAGCTTCTCAGTTGTGAATTGCAAAAAAACTTATTATCTTTGGTAAACTCAAATTTTTTATATTAAGCTAACTATAACATTAATGACTAACTTTAACTAAATATTTAATTATAGTTAGGTTTTTTTTTTAACATTTAAATGATTGTTAAAATAATTTCTTACAAAAAAAAACAAAAAAAGTCACCCCTTCCCCCGGCAGCATCCCACCACGCTAGCGTTGCCGCCGGCGCCCACTCCCCTACCTCAACCCACACTGGCGCCCAGCTCCCTCCCTCGCCGGCGCACCGGCCTTCCCGTCCTGCCGCGCCTATCCCCGTCCCCTGAACCAACACCTCCCTTCCCGCCAAAAACCCTAGAAACCACCCCCAAAATCCCCAACCTTCGAAATCGTCGCCGTTGATTTTTAGAACCATGGCCACTAAAATGGATTGATTTTGTCGCCGTTTATTTCGTCCTGAAACCCTAACTCCTAAAGTCGGTGGTTTGGATCGTGGGTTTGGGTTTGATCTAGGCAGAGGAGAGGGAGGTTGCGGTGGAAGGAGGAGAAAGAGAGGAAGGTTGTGGTTGCGGTGGCCGGTGGGAGGAGAGTGTTCGGTTAGAGGAGGAGAAAGAGACCGGCAGTGGTTTGGGGTTCTGCGTTTGTGGTGGTCTTGGGTGGAGGAGAGGTTGGGATTTTTTCTTTTTTAAAAAATAATTTAATTATTCAAGAAAATAAAATTAACCATGGTTAGTGAGTTTATATTAAAAAAAGCTATTATCTTTGGTAAACAATAATTCGAGTTTACCAAAGATAATAATTTTTTTTTTGCAATTCACCACGAGGATTTTAAAAACTACAGTGTTACCAAAGATAATTTCCCGAAAACTTTTTAACTTCTCCTGTCCCTCAAGCCTTAACTATGTGCTCTCACTAAGATGAGAAGCATAGCCAACTAGATTAAAAACCTGAGTTCAACAAGTTCGAGTTTGAGCTTCACAAGGGTGCTTAGCTCAGGTTCACCAGAGATTTACACAGGCCCGTCCCTGAGCCAAGGCAGGAGGGCAGCAGCCCCGGCCGAGGGAGAAAAGGTCCATTTTCAAAGTTCCTTCCAAACATTCACGACCCATTGGTTACCCGATTATAAACCATGGTAATGGGAATAAAATTGTATGTAAATGTGGAACAAAAATCAATGTTCACTCCCATGATCACTCAAGATGACCTCCAAATTGTCTATATTCTTCCTAAATTATCATTCCACATTTCCACCTAATACCACCTCTCAAGCGGTAATGGATGGAATCATGGAAATGGATAAATAAGAAGAAAACAGAAGTTTGAGGGGTGACTTGTGCTCCTATGGAGTTTATAAGTTGTATTTTATACTAAATTAAACTAAAAATCCATTCCCATTTACCACATTTTATTACCGGCTACCAAACGGGTCATTAAGCCGTTAAGGGTTATATAAATTAAATTAAAGCCTGCAACACATTAGCAAATAAATTTGACTCAATTATTGAATTAGGCTCCATAGCAAAGTGATTGTTGAATGGAGATGAAGGGCACTATGGAATAAAAGATTCCAATATTTGATTGTGGTGCAAAGTGTACAACCACCATCGAAATTACTGAAACACATATATAGTTCTCCAACTCCCATGTACTAACTCCAGCAACTACCAGAAATATAATACCATTTCGGCAAAAAACCTAAATTCAAAAATCACCAAATTACTGAAACTATCAACAAAATTCAAAAGACAGGGAGAAAATAAAAAATAAAAAAGGTAAACATCCACCCAGGCCCGTCCCAGAGGAAGGGCAGGAGGGGCGGCAGCCCTGGGCCCAGGGAAAAGAGCTCTGATTTCATAGTTGAATCCTAACATTAAAGTGTTGTGCAATACATTAGCAACCAAATTTGATTCAATTATCTCATAATTTTAGGGATATTTGATATGATGATAACAAATACAAACAACTTACCTCAGAAGCTGCTTCAATGGGGGATACAAGAACTATATTCAACGGAGAACGGCAACTGCGCTTCAATGGAGAAATTCAATGGGTTGGACGCCTAAAAGTCATGACCCATGACCCGCCACAGTATTATGGGTTAGAACCGTCTAATAAATAAATGGGCTGAGTCTTTATACGATCGTCCAATTAAGGGGCAGGGTAAACCTTTTAAGTGTTTAAAGTAAACCTGTTTTATAAACTACGGAGTATTAATTTATCTTTACACTTCCATTTCTCAAAATACTATCTTCACACACCAAAGCTTGTATAGTTTGTTTGTAAGTTTTTTTTGCTTTATTTTTTAAAAAAAAAAAAAAATTGAAAATGGCTGAAATTACATTAATTAAACTTAGTTTACAACAAACGAAAAGAAAGTATGGTAACCTAAGTCAATTACAAGTTATCATGTCGTAAATGTGGTTAGGATGAGTTTTCCTCAAAAAAAAATGTGGTTAGGATGACTCTTTTATCGTGGCCATTATGACAAATTAATTGTGTCATGTGAAGTGTGAACTATGCAATTGTATAGGTAGTGTTACCTTTGCGGTTTTAACATCAGCTGACGGTCACATACATTTTTATTATAAATACATTTGCAGACTAGCAAGGGTAGAATTGTATGAGTTAGTTAATTGTGTGAGTTGGTTAGTAATCTGTGTAAAACAGAAAATTATTTGTCAATAACTTTGGAAGTGAAAACTTTAATACTTTGTTTTGTTTTGAAAAAAACCCATCTAGATCAACCGAAAAAATTTCCAAAATGTGAGGAGGGATTACATCACTCCACACCCATTGCCAAAACTCCCATGGTTGAAAGTAAGTCAATTTGTGTGCTACATTATTACCCCCTCGCTTTACAAAAGATCATGAATCACTAGTAAAATTAGAAGAAATAAAAAATCTAGAATATCCTTTATAATCAAATGAAAGGAACTGGAGTCATACAAACACTTCCTCATTGCCTTAATCACCACCAGATTATCACTCTCGATCCCAATTCAGCTCATACCCTTGTGTCTCCCAATCTTCATGCCCCAAAATACCGCTTTTCACCTCTGCAATCTTAGTCTCTCATTTTTCACTCCACTACACCGTAGCTCCCCAAAGCACCACCCCCTCATTATTCCTGCATACTGCACCCAGTCCCGTCCTCACCTCCCCCAAAACACCAGCATCAACAATGATTTTAACCACACCAGATGCCGGAGGAGACCTGCCCACAGAGTCACTCTTTCCACCCCTCCATTCCCCATGTTATTTAACTTTCCCACCTTAAACCTTCAAAGCATAGGCAACAATTTGCTCAACATTCGGATTTTCACCCTTAATCATCCATTTGTTCCTTGCGCCCCACATAGCCCAACACATGGTAATTAAACTTACCATATCCTCTCCAAAATTACCAAAACAGTGCTCCCACCAATCACCCATACTACAAAGAGAGTGAGACAAAACCATAGAATAATTGCACTTACTCCAAATTGCTCGGGCTAAACTGCAATCTTTTAACGCATGCATGACAGATTCTTCTTCTCTCTGGCAAACACCACAAGCTAGTAGCTAGGGCACAAACTAGCTACAAAAAAATTAGCTTTAAAATCTTATGTGGCCAAAAAAGCTAATTTGCTAATTAGCTTACCGTTGGAGTTGCTCTAATACTCCATCTGTTCCTTTTATTAGATACATTTTGACTTTACACCCTAGTGTCCCAACCAGTCCAGCGAACACCCACCCAAACCCTAATTCTAACTCTCGAACCCCACTTATTTGGCGAACTCCCACCCAAACCCCAACCCTTACTCTCAAACCACAATTATGTGGCGAACTCCCACCTAACCCTAACCTAGCCGATCGATCGAACCCACACAGCTCCCACCCACCTTAGTCGGCACGAATCTATGACCACTCAGTCCTCCATACCAAACTCGACACCCCAATCTTTTTAAAAAATTATTTATTATAGTTAAAATTAAAAATATTTTTTTATATTTAAAATTAATATTAAGCTATATTTTATTTTTAATTAATCCAATTCTTATTTAATTGAGAAAAAATTATAGTATAAGTCAATTGATGACTTGTTTGACCGGTCACAAGTCAAATCTAGTACTTAAATTATTTATGGAATATAGACATTAATGTTAGACTTATTTTTTTAATTTATGAAAGTTGACTTAATATTGGAAGATCACCTAAAGTTCGACTTATTGTGGTTATTTTTTTCATTATTTTATTATATTAGACTTTCCTTTTACTAATTATCTGCATATGCATTTCTAATTTACACAAATATTTTCCATACGAGAATGACAAAAAAAGCAAAAAAATAATGGTGCATTATCTCACCAAGAATCAACACGAATTTTTTTAGTGTCTCATTAAGTATATAGTTATTGAAATATATACTTATGGATTATTGATTGGTTATTATTTAATTATGATTACTAGTTATTTATTAAAGTAAATATAAAAATATGATATTTCATATATTTTTTTTCTGACGGATAAATCACAAAAGAAGTCAAAAGAGAAGTGTGAATGAAAAATGTCCAAATGGTGCAATTAAAGAAAGGGAGAAAGTATTTAACAAATTATATACAATTATTTGGAATTAACAAATTATATAACTATTTAACAATTATATAAATAAATAATTTTTTAATTATCATTTTGCCTTGGGCATCCAAAATGTCAAAAACGGCTCTACATCCACCAACCTAATTTACTAAACTAAATTTCAATCGCAATATCTCAGAACCAACATTTTCAAGGAAAAAAAACAACCATAACCAAATTCCCTTTCCGTTCTTTCTTTATCTACACAGGGTTTCAAATTCGATTTGCTTCATTTGAAAAAAGTAATTTTAATTTTTACTTAATTAAGTACAAATCGTAAAAGCAAATTAAGTGTAATTCGAATGATTTCACAGCATTTGGACATAATTATTGCCCTCAAACTTCATAGATTCTTCGACTTGAATTAAATCGACCAAAAAACTCAATGTATAATTTCTTCTACATCGGAAACCTTGATTTCACATAAACAATAAGAAGAATCTCTAAGGTTATTGGTTGGAGAGTGAATTTGTGAACCAAAGACTAACGAAATAAACCTTAGACAGTGGCGCTCACCAGGAGGGGATTAGGTGGTGCTGTAGTGGGCACGCCCGTGCGCTGAAGTTCGGCGATGATCGATATACAACGCACTCTTGTGCGTTTTTGCTTGAGTCTTGTGAAAGTGAATTAAGCGCAGGTGGGAATTATTTTAGCCGCGTTAAAATATATTTCCTCATTTTTGTTACTTGACCCGCTTTGACTATTACACTATTCACACCCCTTAACTGTCTTTTGTGAATTATGAGAGCTTGTTCTGTACACCCAGGTGTACCCGGGGTTATTTGCTAATTAGCTTTTAACCCCGGGTGTACGGTACACCCGGGTGTATATTACAAATTCTAGTGAATTATATGCAACTAAAAATATATTCATGTGAGATCTTATTAGATTCATCTCAATACGTACTATCATAATATACAATTTTTATAATTTTTGCTTATGGAGAATTAATTATCGATTGTTAAAATTCTACATTAACAAGCGTGATGAATGAAACAGGTCGAAGTAAAAAAAAGTGGAGGAAGTATGAAATTATGATTTTTACCCCCAAAAAAATATAGAAATTGTGTAATGGTATTGTTTATTACCTCTACGTCTTTAAAAGTTTTACTGTATTTTAACAACAACAAGAAAGAGAAGTTTTAAAAGGAGTATTATTATGTATCTATTGGTACATATTAAGGGAATAATGATAACTTAGTACAATAAAAAGGTAATGGGACCACATATTATCACTTTAATTTTCAGTTTTTAATTGTACCACTATAATCATTTTAGTACCATTACAACTAATTATTATACTATATACTCCAATAGCATGATTTCACAACCTAGTGATACATCTTTAGTACATTTTTAACCATTTACAGTACTATTGTATTAACAATGATGTTTCGGGGTTTTCTGTGTCCCTTGGGAGAGTTATGTCACCAAGACTGGATTCTGGTCGACAGTACCTGCAAAACCACGGAAGCTCTGGTTGGTCCGAGTTCCGCCTCCGACGATCAAGTTAGTAAAGATTTGGAGTAAAAGAGTGCGGAAAAGTAAATATCGTCTCGAATTCCGAGATCAGGTGCTTTATCTAAGAATAATAACTGATGTAATGATTGAACGTGCCCCCAAAATGGGGGGGGGGGGGAATCTCCATATTTATAGGGTCCTTGGGATTTGTTCCCCTGTCATAGGTTACGGAAACCTAGGACTAATGGGCTGCGCCGTTTTAGGGCGGTCTAGGGAATTGGGGTGCTCCTCACAAGGGTGACGTGGCGTGCCACGTGGCGCCTGTGATAGGTGTCACTTGAACATTGGTAAAGAGTTTTTATTGTTCACCTTCTGGGGTAAAATTAGGGTTGACTCCCAAATTTTCACCCCTCTATAAATAGTTTTCACCCCCTTCTCACCTTTGCATGTTTACGAGAAAGTCTTCGCGAGAGAATATTTGACTTTGAGAGAATTTGTCTTTATTTGAGAAAAGCACCTGCCACCTACAACTTGTCTTGTTTCTACAGCCGATCAAGACCTTTCAAGCGTTCTCAGTACCTTTTAATCTAAGGTAACCGCTTGCTTTTCTCTCTTTTTATTTTAATTTTGTTTATTTTCTTTTGAAAATGGTTTCCCAAATGCACACGACACAACCTAGGTTAGTGATCAACCGGTCACGGGGAACGGCGGAACCTAGAACTAGGATTGCTGATGGCACCTTCTTAGATTCTCCTTTGCGAACTTCCCTGAATCCGACCGTCTCTGTGTCTATGCGAGACACCATGGACAAAACGAAACAAACATCCAGGCAGCAAAATTCGGACGACTCCTTTAGGGCGCTGATTTTGCAAGAATTAGGGGAGGAGTTAGGGAGTGATGTCTCTGGATCTGTTCATCAGGCCTCTCATTCGGACGTTAGGTTCGACAGCTCTGACGACGAATCGGAGCCGTCTATTTCTGGCAGAGTCTCTGTGGACTTTGATGAAAAGCGCTCTCGGCTAGAGACA